GTTTCCTTGTAGTCAATGACAATTTCATTTGAATTGAGTTTTGGTGTCGCATCCAGGCGGCGGCAACGACTCGATGGTGGTGGTGATTTGGACTTCGGGAGAGATTCAGGATTTGGGTTTCTTCCTTTCCAGAGGAGGAGGTGGCTAGGAGGGTAGTGTGGCAGTGGATCTTGCGGTGTTCGAGACGACGAAGGATATGGGAGTGCCGGTGGATTATCGCAGTCGTCAAGATTGTGTCGCGACGAAGAGAGGGATGAGGGACAGAGCCCTCATTGTTCCGCCGGAGTAAGGATTAATCATCGTCGGTGGTCTCGTGCTTAATTGCACAAATTTTCTTCGTTAGGTCACAGATCGTCGAAATTGGGGTTTTCTGGGTTTGGAAATTTTTTGAGAGAGAAGCGAATAGTGCGAGAAGAACACAGACATTTTATTTTCTTAATTATTTTTTATTTTTGTAATTTTTCTATTTTAATTTTGATTTATTTTTAAATTAAAAATATGAGGTGTCATTGACGTGGCATCTACATGGCTGCCACGTCAACAAAAGTCAATGTTAATGTTGACTTCTGTTTGGTCAACCGTTATCTATAACGGTCAACGAAATAGTTAGGACATAAATGACACACAACTATCATACGTTGTGACACAAATGTCATATCGAATACTTTAGGGCACAAATGACACAAAGTTAATAGTTCGGGTTTCCTAGTGGTATTAGTCCTTTTTTTTATACCAAAGATACCTCGTATTATCGAGAAAAAGGAGTTACACTAGAGTCACATGGCTACACGGAGCCAAGCACAAAAATCAAACCCTATTAAACTAGGATACAATGAAAGGGCCTTTCGCGCCACCATATGGGCTGCCCTATTGCACTCACACCTAACAAATCGAAAACCACAAGACATGAAACACCAACAAAAGATTTGGAAACCCTTATCTCTGTAGACCTCCCGTATTACTTGTAGTCAACGGGTGGTAACTGCCTTAGGAACCGTTTACTTTAAAAATGTTACAAAAGAATCACTCCCCTCTTCTTCAGACGTGGCTGATGTGTTTGTAAACATGAAATGAGTGGCAGTTGCTCCCTCAATGGCCTAGTTGTCTCTCTCTTGGAGACAATGTCTTGGAATGCAGCTTTATTCCCTCTCATGTTATGCTATTTGAATGAAGGACCCGTGATTGTCTCGCTATGCGGTCGTTGTCCTCTTGCGACATAGTCACAACTATCTTACCTTGCGACCATGGGCCACTAGCTTCACGACCATGGATCTCTTCCAATGAGATATAAGATAAGTTTGTGTATTATGTAAACACATACCAAATAGTCAATATATAGTTGACAACCGCAAGGATGTGGTATATGATATCCAAAGGCCAACCCCTTGTGTATGCCTCAAGTGTGAAAGGATGTCTTCACATCCTTAATTTTTTTTTGTCAAAAGATATCATATATTAATCCAATCAAAAAGATAGTTACATCCTGGAAAGCAGCCAGGCCCTGAAATCAAACAAACGATTCACAATCGGGTACAAAGAGAGGGCTTTTCTAGCTACCGAATGAGCTACCCTATTATTCTCCCGACCTACAAACCGCACACTAAACCTCGGATGGGCATCAAAATACTGACAAATCTCATTCAGGATTGCCCCCAAGTGGCTGTCGCGCGAATCGGCTTGATTAATCTTGTCAATAATGACCTTCGCATCACCCTCGAACCGAACTTAGGACAAACCACACTCTAAACACCAAATGATAGCCTCACGAAGCACAAGCAATTCCACCACCAGCGGCTCATCAATTTGTGCAAATTGCACACCTTTAGCCCGAATGATCGTCCTTCCCGGATCACAAAAAACCATCCCACCAGCCGAGTGTGATCCCTTCCTAGTTGCCCCGTCCCACATGCAAACTAAACGAGAGTCATCCACTTGGGTCCCAGGCTGAACCACCTGGCAAGACATCCTTGGCTGCTGGTCAACCGGCAGACCCACCCATTCCTCGTATTGCTGGTGAAATTGGCGCATTAAAGTCGGAATCCCAAACTGTTTGCCTTCAAAGACAACCCAGTTTCGCGATCGCCAGACCCGCCAAAGGATGGCAACCACAGCCATAAACAGCGACGGATCCTGGACAAGGGCGAGCATCTGCTTAAGAAACAATGGAAACGTGTGCCGAGGCAAAGCCTCCCCTAAATAATCCAACCCCGAGTAGTCCCAGAGAGCCCGCGCAATCGGGCAGTAAAGAAACATGTGCTCCATAATCTCGGGACCATCCCAGCAAACCGGACACCGGGGCATCACATGAACCTTCTTTTCAATGAGCGCCTCTGTGGTTGGCAGAGCCCGATTCAAAATTTGACAGACAAAGACTTTAAGCTTGGGAGGAATCTTAGCTTCTCACAACCGTATCCAACTTTGCCTATCCATCCAACTAACCGAGGCCCGCCACCTACCCCTCCTCCTGTCTAGCTCAACTGCCAGATGATAGGCCGTCTTAACCGAGAACACCCCATCAGAAGTGTTATGCCAGATCAGTTTATCATCCACATTCAGCCTCGGAAGTGGGATAGCCTTAATGGCCCGACAGATAGAAGGGTCAAACCATTGACTAAGCTTATCCTCATCCCAACGCCCTTCCCCTTGACAAATAACCTCCGCCACCAAGGGATCCCCCCCCCCCCATCTGGCAGGATGCGGGGATTATAGCAAGGGGGATCCAGTTGAAGCCCAGAGTGTGTAAGGGAGGCCGAGAGGCCATTGCCGATCTACCATCTTAAACCTGCCTCCAAAAGCTGGCGCCCAAACAGGATACTCTGCCAACCCCAAGAAGGCCTAGACCGGGCAGTAGCAGACAGAAAATAATTCTATAATGTATGAACCTACTAATGGAAAAGGAGATGAAAGTGATGTATATTTGCATTACAGTAAAAAAAATTTAAAGTTAGTTTTTACACAACAGTTTAATCAAAAGTTATATTTTTCTTAACATGCTTTTCTCGTTAGACCACAAGCTCTTTATCATTAGACCACACAATACGACATATTTGTATAATACTATTCTATAACAGTTACTAATTGGAATATATTATAAAATAATCTCGGTTCCATCGCTTCTAAACTCAATTGCTGATTACACTCCATCAGACTCTCCATTATATCCCTCATTCTATTAATCAAAGCTTCCGTAGACATGCTGCTCTTTCCATACACTCTAGGACCTCTCTCCCGTCATATCTCACTTATCATCAAGTTTCATAGCAACCTCCCTACACAACACTTATGCAACTTAATCACTGCCTCCTGCAGACCATCTTCCCACCCTTCCTGAGGACGATACCTAATTGCTAGGGAATATTACCAGAAGCACCTCCTCCACAAAAGGACAACAAAATAAATGTGGCCCCTGGATTCCTCATGCCTCAAACATGAAGGGCATTGATTTATTATGGTTGGCTGCCATTTCTTGATCTTGTCAAACGTTGAAATCCTATCGAGGATGGCTAGCCAAGAAATCGAAGAGTTTCTTGGTATTTGTACTTGCTTCCATATTAGAGGAGCCCATTCTTTTACCCCCTGCTTAGGTCTAAATCTTTCCCACACACGTTGGATGCAATATTTAGGCATCAGACTTCCATCCCAGGTCACTCCAGCCCTTGTTTTAACCAGACATCCTTGTAGTTGACTCCTCAACTTCAACACCTTGTTCCACAGCCATGCCCCTAGAGTACAAGTCTCCCAAATACTAACATTCCTGAGCCTATATTCTGGTAAGCAGGCTATCCACGTGGTTTCTTGATCTGACAGGACATTCCAGAGATGTCTAACTAGGCATGCTGTGTTCCAGCTGTGCATATCCTTAAATCCCAGTCCTCCCTCCTTCTTTGGCAAAGCTACTTTCTTCCAAGTAACTTTGCTTTACTCTTCTCTAGTTCCCATAGGAATGCACAACATTGCTTCTCAATTTCCCTAATGACTTTTTTGGGCAACTGAAATACCATCATCAGAACTGAGGTTCCATTAGCGAGGACAGAGGTCACTAGTTGCAGTTTACCTGCATAGGATAGAGTAAGGGCTTGCCAAACTGTAGTTCTCTTCATGATCCTTTCAACTAATGCTTTGCAGTCACTAGCTTTAAGTTTGACTGCAATCAAGGGAACACCTAGATATCTGACATGGAGTTGGCCTTTCTTAAACCCTGAATGCCTTATGAGCTCAACTTTTAAATTATCCTCTACTCCCGCACAGAAGAGTTCACTTTTTCGCGGATTACACTTAAGACCGAGACCAGGTAGAATTGCTTCAATACTTCAGCAACCCCCTTGAACCCCCTCCATTGATCCCTTAGTGAAAATTAGTAGATCATCTGTAAAAACACAGATGTGACAACCCTATCCTCTGACACAGAGGATGAAATGGCAAAACCTTCATTTCAGTAGTTCGAGTTAACATACAGCTAAGAATTTCCATAGAGATAACAAACAGATATAGGGACAAGGGGTCCCCTTGTCTCAACCCTTTATGAGATGGAAAGTCCATGTTAACCCTCCATTGATACATATTTATGTATATGGAACGAAATAAATGTAAGTTTTCAGTTGTATGAAAAGCACAATCGAGTCTATTATTAATAAAGAAAGAGATAGCAAAGACACATACATATATTGGGAAAAGTACAATAGCTCAACATATATTCTTACATAAAAGAGAGAGTTCTCAACAGTTATCATTCAGTACTTACATATATGCAACAGTCATACTAACTTGTTGATAATGAATTGAAGATCATACAATAAGAATATTCGAGATGCATCGATTTGTAGTTATCGAAAAATAACTAGAGATTTTGGAGGATTCGAAGATATATAGTCAACAACACCTTAAGAAAAATCACAGTTAAGTTGCATCAATTACTTATCTCCTATAGGCTTCCTCCATCCTTTCTGTAATAGGCTTAGCTTGTACCTCAATTGATCATGAATGAAATTCAACTTATTGTAAAAAAAATTAGGCATTTAGTGTTCCAACCTTAAATTTAGCTTGTACCTCAATCGATTAACAAACAAGTGACAACAACTATCCAATCGCATCCATGGAAACTCATCCCATCTCCCATCTATATATTAAACCTGCTCATTGGCTCATTGCATTTGGGTGGGTATTACTGGAATTCAACAAAAACCCAATTCTCTACGCAACAATTTTCTCTTCCACCTCAATACAAAGATCATATACAATTAATTCTCTTACTGGTAAGATCAGAGATCAATCAATCAGAACATAAATGGCGCCGGTGAGAACGACGCCATCACCATCGGCGACGAAGAAGAAGAAGCAGAGTTGTCCCTGCAACAACAAAATCCCCCAATTTCTCAATAACGACACAGAGAAACGACATGCCGTCTAAGACCAAATTTATTTTACTATTATTTTTTTCATATGTATTTATTTTACTAACTTAATTACCTCTGAAGATGACAGTAACTGCTGCTCTTGGGCTTGGCCGCGGAATTGGATTTTCCTCTGCTATCCGACGCCGTTTTCTTCTGTAACGGCTTCGTTCCCCTATCCGCCGCGCCCTTTCTCACGATTCTCGTTGCGTCGCCGGCGAACGACACTACGGGACTCTCTTCCGATATCGCCGACAGAGCAGGCCGCCAGCTGTGCGCCGCCCACGATGAAGACGCGCTTCTCGTGATCGAAAGCTTGTTGCAGTTCCCGCCGTTTCCATCGCGATAGTAATGTTCTAATAACAGGGGAACGACGGCAGCCGAGCGCTTTTCCTCCGCCGGTGGCGGTGGCGGTGCTGCGACCGCCGTCGCCGACCGAGAGCAGCAGGACCCGAAATCGTGGAGGAGTTTCATCGAAAATTCGAAATATTTTGGGGCCTGGGGGCTGGAATTCTTATTCAGAGCGTTGCTGCTCTGAGGGATTTGTGTTAAATATTGATAAGGGGATTAATTAGGAGATGTAGAATTGCTGACTTGCTGTTTTGAAACGTAGCTGCCTACGTTTCTGATCCATGGTTGTTCAAATTAAAAAAAATGGACCCTTTATTTAAATTTAATTATTTTCATTATAAAAAAATAAAAATTTAATTATTTTCAATCCTGTATTATATTATAAACTTAAAATCCGAAAACAGTAAGTTTATTGGCAGATGTCACTGTAGGGGGAGGTTACATCTTCCTGGTAAATAATTGCAGTGACGTTACGAAAGTAATTTTCTAGATTAATAATTCGTAGATTTTCATTTGACATCAAAATCGGCGTATTTTAGAAATAAAATGAAACACCACAAATACACATTCCAAATATAAAACATAGTGCATATGGAGTATGATGAACTATATAAGTTTCTCTGTGATATGAGTAAATGTTGGATTTCAGTTACCTACCGAGTTTCTTATATATCAATTAATATGTTGTGTTGTATTATTTTAGAAAAAAATGATGTTATGAGTCATCTAGCACGAAATTTGCATGAATCCGTGGTTGGTCGGTAATATGAGAAAATTAGTTAGGAAATTGAGCTATAAATGGTGGACTCAAACCAATATATAAATATAGTTTGTCTTTATCATGATCTAGAAGATGAAGGGCATCCAACTTAACAACCAAATCAATCAGATCTTTCCACCAAAAGAACAAAATCAATCAAATTGATTTCTTCCAGCTAAACCATAATATTCATTATGTAATTTAAGTATTTGACACCTGGCTTGCTTTTTTAATTTCTTTACTTGGGGAAACTAAAAGCATAAAACCCCCAAAACTTACTAGTTGGGCTTAATAGATCAAAGTCAAAATCCATTATAACTCTCAAGCCCAATAATATGTAATTTTAGAAATAAGAGCAGTCTACTAGTCTAGTACAATCTTAAACTATATACAATGAGAGTTTAACATAGGGTAAATAACTACAGGATGCATAATCCGTACATAACTAATTTTGGGTTCTTATTTTCAAATGTGGCCAAATATAATAGGTGAGATTATAATATCTTTTAATTTCATTATTTTTATAATTGGCTTTTATCTTTTTTGCATTAACTTGGATAAGATTTTACGTTGTGATATACAAAGTTATATATATTTTCAATATATTTTGAGAGAAAATTCCGTACCATTCATATCACTTGTTATTAGGGGTGGGCATGTGGGTGGTTAATCCGCGGATTGATATCGATCCACCCGCAAATAACCCGACCCGCACGCAGTGGGTGATTGATGTGGGCGGATTGCGGATTGATAAATCTCCCACCCGCACTTATGTAGGTGGATGGTGGGTGGATTGCGGGTCACCCATATGACCCGCATCCTATTTTTACATGAAAAAATGTCGTTTCTTATAGTATCGAATATTCATATTTATAAAAAATAAGAATATTTATCATATTTTCGAACTGCACTACAGTCTGACCATATACTTCAAAAGGTGAAGAATAAATAATAGTTTTGACTACTATTATTGGTGCAATATCCATTAGATATTAGATATTGGTATGCAGATTATTGTTAATAACCATTAAATATTGGGATGCAAACTATAAATTATTAATTGTATCAAAATCACAAATTAATGATATAGTCTTACTAATTTTGCTTCGAACTTATTATAAATATTAGTCAACTTTCTTAATGGCTAGTTGAAGAATTGCTTTTGCGGGTTTACCCGCGACCTAACCGCACTCATCCGCCACCCACCCAACCCAATCCACATAAGTATGTGAGTAGATTGCGGGTCACAATTATTTCAACCCGCTAGTAAGTGGGTGGATCAATTTGAGACCAAAACCCACCCAACCCGCCCATTGCCCACCCCTACTTGTTATCACCTTCATTGTTAATTCGAATTTCAAAAAAATATTTTCGAGACGGAACGAACTCATCGTGATCTGTTGGATCTATAAATTTATGGGAAAATTTATCAGGACCAAATATACCACCATATACCATCCTGGTATAGGGTGACAACTGGTGGTAGATGGTAATGAAAAGTGGGGTCTCACCACTAGTATATTCCTAATATCATGTATATAATCATTATACACTTCCATACAACGTGGTATAATCTTATATACTACCAAGCGTTACCACATGGTACGAACTTGTAATAAATATCTGAAAAATTTTGTTCCAAAATATATCAAAGTAGATGTCATTTTAAAGAACACGATTAATATAATTTTTTTAACAAAAAACTTATATTATGACTTAAACCAAAAGAGAAATAACTCGTTAAAATTAAATGGATGAAAAGTTAGAGACATTCCATTAATATTAAGTGTAATGTTGTGCATAACAATGTTATGCACTATATCCGCTCCCTACACTCAGCCAAAATTTCATGTGTCACTTTCAGGGATAGTAAAATGTTATTCAGTTATCTGTTTTTATCGATAACCGAACTGATTATGAATGGTTAGTGGTTAACCGATAACAAATAATTTTTAGCGTTTCTATTTTGGTTATCTGTATTTTTCTTAGTGGTTAACCGATAAGAAAATTGATAACAACCTACTGGTATAACCACACAATGTGTTTAAGAGTTAGAACCCGAAAATCACCCTCTCTGACTCCCATTTGCAGTCTACATAACGAATATCACACCCTAGCTAGTAGTTTTGTTTCTTTGCTGTTTGTGAATGATGATCTTGTGGTACTTTTGTTTGATGTCCTGCTAGTTGGCTTTCGCTAAATATATCAGGACGTTATATTATTTTTATTTTTATGTAATTAAATTTGGATTTGAATTATGAATTCATTATGGATCTTGTATTGTATTGATGTTATTTCTTATTATTATTTTATGCTAACAATATAGAAGTGTAGTTATATTGTTTTGAATTATTTGTGTATTTATATGTTATCATTAAAAGGGACACAATACAAAATTTCAAAATAACAAAATAAAAATGTAACATGTATTGAGTTTTTTATTTGCTAGTGGTTGACTACCTACTTAACATCTAACCGAATCAATAACCCTTATCGTTTCAATTTTCAGTATATATTTTTTCCTTAGTGGTTAACTGAAACTGAACTAATTAGCAACCCTAATGACTTTAGCTCAGGTAATCATTCTATTTAAAAAATATGGCTTTCACTCCTTACACTTATAGAAGTTGGAAAAAAGAATCATGGGGTTTGATCGAGTGAGTTACTGTAATACACCATTCATTTCTAAGCGAGATATTATCCATTTTGAGTCTATACCCGCATAGTTTTGTTTGTGGTATGCATCATCTTGATTTTGTGAGAGGTTACCCATCTTTTCACGGGTACACACACTAAGGACGTTTCACTTTAGATTTCCTTTTTGATAAAAGGACGTTTAACTTTAGAGTTCTTATAAGAACTCATCAATTTCACCTCAAAATGCTTCTTGTCAGTTTGAGATGGATTGTTCCTTACTAACCGTGGATCACTCTCGTGTTTTTTCGATCATGATGCATCATGATGACTTCTTGAGAGGTAACCATTGCACTACTCCACATTGAGACTGTTTAACTTCATGGTTCTTACAAAAACTTATTCATTTCACATGGTTAAGATTAGATTGTTTCTTATGAATCATAGATCTCTCCCGTTCATTATCACTGTGAGATTGATCTAAATTGTTGCACTTTTTTTTGTAATGAAAAGATACATGCATTTTTTCAATGAAAAGATACACGTATTAACAGAAAAATGATGCCCCAATAGAAAAAATGAATGAGCAGAAGAGTAACGATAATTGACCGGAAGGTCAATACTCAACCCCAAAATCAAATTATGCGAGAAAAAAACCCCTGCTTTATCCTGACATTCTACATCACATTCCGAAATGTTTTCGGGTAAGATATTGTCCGCTATGGTTCTAGACCCTCACAGGTTTATCTGGGTGCATATCAAGTTGAGTTATCATAAAATCACCCATTCTTGTAATGCTCTACACTGAGCACATTTAATTTCATAGTTCTCATAAGAACTACTTCATTTCACCCCAAAATACGTCTTATCGATTAAGATAAGTTTCTTACTTATCAACCATATATCTCTCCCCATACTTTATTGATGTAGGATTCTCCTAGAAGTGTTACATGTCACATCTAGCAAAAACACTCTACCCAATCTAATGAAATTATTCTTTGTCCACATGCCAAAGACCTTCAAATCTATATCTATTTATCTATCTATCTATCTATCTATCTATCTATATCTATCTATCTATCTATCTATCTATATCTATACTAAATATTATGGCTATTCAAAAATAACTTCTTGCCACATAAGCACTTGGTGAATGCACAAGTTGCCAAGGTGGACAATTTTTTTTCAAACAAAAAACTATTTATTGATCTATTTATGAAGTTGTCTCTCTCTTCTTTTAATAGTTCTACTCATTTTTACTAAAATTAAATTAAGTTAATTTTTTAGGAAACATTTAAACAAAAAACACACACCTAAGTAATAAAAAAAATTTCGATTAAACAAACTATAAAGATGGAAACAGAGAGTGACATATATTGTATTTGTTTAACCCAAGATGATTAAATCTGATTAAGTAAATTTTTTACTCATTTTTACTAAAACTTAATAATAAGTTATATTTTTATGAAAAAAACAAGCACATACATAAATATTAATATTTTTCAATACAAAATATAAACGATTATCTAAGAGAAAATAAACGTTTGACAATCAATCGACTTTGAGAAATGAACGATATGACTATATGTTTTTTGCTATCAAACACTCACTTCTTTCTTATGTATATACCTATCAAATAAAACAAGTATAGATTATATAGCAAAATGTCTGAATATAAACTTGACAGAGCAATAATTGTTATTTTTTTAAGAACTTCTTATTCATTTCGATTAAATGAAAACATATTAATTATTAATGCAAACTTTTAATTTGTTTCTATCCCTTTCCCTATTT